CCCCCCCCCCCCCCCCCCCCTCTATCCCATCTGCTGCTGTACCGAATTGCAACCCGACAACGAAGGGGTCTTGAAGGATTGTTATGCGTTCAGCCCGCAACGTTCTGAGCCCCCGGTTCGCGTCTATCCCCGCAACAGGTGGTCGTGTACAACGAGGACGCCGTTCTGCCCACCTACCTCATCGTCTACAGCTTCTACTAGCCTGCATTTCCTCGCCTGGTCTGGTTGTAACGGCGATGCGAACGGGTGGGGAAATGGAAAGCAGTTTGCATGGCTCCTCCTTCCCGTGTAAATACATCAATATTCAAGAATGATAGCGCGACCCTCTGACGCACCGCACGGCGGCGGTGAATATCACCACTGCTGTATACGCTGTTGAATGGCACAGGGTGTCCACCTCAACGCAACACGAATTGAGTGTGTTCGCGGCATTGGAGCGAGTGTGTGAGGGGGGCGCCGTGAAACGGGCAGCGAACGCTGCCGAAAGAGAATCTCAACTGACCAAGCTGCACGAACGAGCAGAGAATCGGAAGGCGTTCTAAATCCAAGTGACATCAAGTGGTAGCCTCTGCTCCAAAGAACGGAAACGCTGGCCTACTGGCCTGGGGGTAGCCCACACGGATATGGGAATCTCGTGCTTCGCCCTGAGCGAAATGGCAAATGCTACGACGTTTGCAAGAGCAAGCGCTGGTTACTTTTCAATTAACCGTGGAGCCGATGATTTGTGGCAAGTGTTGATCTATGCTGAAGGACACACAAGAGAGGACGGTAGGGCAACGGCTCAAGCCGTTCAACTCGGGAACCCCCCTCTAAGGACTTGGAAGGAGGGATAGAACACAAAGAAAACCGCCGGTTGTGCTCACGGCGTGCCCTGCAATAGAGCAAACGATCATGTCCGGGAGGTCCTTTTTTCATGTGCAATCCGTCCTTCCTGTTGTGTACCGTCCCTACCGTAACAGGCGTGGCACCATCAGGGCCCTCATCGACATTGGGTTTGGTGTGCGTTGCAAGAGTTTTATGTTTGGTTTCATCAGAGATGGATCGGTTCATTCAACGTCCGCCTTGGGCACTTCAAACTACCGTACAGACACAAACGGGGCTTCCAATACCAACCGGGGAGCAACGCAGGTCACAGGCTACTTCATGGACCGAGTGTGTACCTCGACGCCCAGCACGTGCTTGTACCAGCTTTCGACTATGGAGTAGCGTTTCACTTCGGGCATGACGGGAAGAGGGTACGCACAGTACCACCTACATCCATGATCACATAGACTACACCCCTCAATCAATCGCAAACGTCGCACCCCGTTTTTCGCGCGCACGCACCGTTTCGGAGCAAATCCATAGCGCGGAACTTTTCGTTCCGTTTTGCACCCTCGCCAACCCTCCCACCCCTCCCCTATAGCCATCAAGAATGCTTGGCGCAGTTCGACAGTGGGTCGCCGGTTACAAGCGCGCGGCGACAAAAACAAATCATTGAAAACGTTCGTCGACTTTTCTGCGTGTTCCCGACGCTTGGTCCCCCCCCAAAAAATGTGCAAAAAATGCCCCGAAGGACAAAAACAGCACTCCTTGTATCCATCCTGCGTCTACGACCGCACATAAACACACCGCACTGAGACTGACGTCGTTTCACTGGTCAGCCAGTTGGCACGGTCGATGCTAATAAAGACGAGCACACACACGTCGTCGATGCTAACAACAAAAAAACACGCGGTAGACACGTGCGGGTTTTCTCTCTGTTGCCACCGTTTCTGTCTTTACTCCGGAGAATAGCTAAGCCTCCCCCATGACGCCCCCTCACCAAAGGTCCCAGTTCATGGCATTTTCTTAGGAAGTGTTCAGTGTTTTCAAACGCACTGAGATTGACGGCTGTTCATTGGTCAGCCGATTAGCGCGGTCCATGCTAATAATACAGCCACAAACACACACACACACGATGATGCCCCCTCACGGGGTCCCAGACCATGGACGGCCTTTCGAGAATTTGTTGTGTTCAACCGCACTGCGGCGGCCGTCTTTTCATTATCAGCCATTTAGCGCGGTCGATGCTTCATAGCAGAAACACACACGAGGCACGGAGGGTCTTGGGTGTCGAAAACCGCCGACCGACGAAGGCGAACAAGCGTTGTTGTCAACCCTCACACCAATTTCTCCATACAATCCTCCGCCGGAGCAGCAGTTGGAACCATACTACAATCGACCTTCGCAATATTGGAGTGTGTGTTAGCTAGACTTGAATCTGTAAAGCATTCACAAGCAAGCTCAACCGCGCACAGTAGTAGAACTGCTACCTGAACCCCCTACTTCACGAATACCAGTACATCACACCACGCTTGACGATCATGAAGTACGCCGAATTCCGCTCGAAACGAACTGCGCTCACCAACCGAAACCGGAGTCCACCAATCAATATCCATTCACAGCCAGACCACATCTATCTGAGTGCGTTCCCGTTCACTATTAATTGATACACCCACCACCCGCCAAGAGAGCCACTACTGCCGCGGAGCTTTGTCGGTGTTTTCGTCTCGTTTCGAAAACTTCCTCACGGTAGTTGACGTCGGGGAGTAGGAGCACGCCTTTGCTCGCTTCAATGTTGGCAGGAGAGGCGGGGGCGCGCCTAAGCCTGATGAGTCATCGTCATCGTTGCCGCTTGCAAACAACGTTGGCCCCAAGTTTGAAGGAAAACACTCGTCACGAGTGCGCTTCCCCACTGGATGATTGAAGGTCGGATCGCTTCTGCTTCGAGTAGGCTGATGTGTGTACGAAAGTAAAGTGGGCGGGGGAGGGGCGCGGTATAATTAGTACTAAATGTTTTCACGGGCAGGTTTAGTACAGTACAATACTGCCAGTATTTTCAGTATTGCAGTACCTTTGGCCATAATATACTGTACTGCACGCTTTAGTACAGCTTTCGATACTGGAATAAAAATACTGCACGCTTTAGTACAGCTTTCGATACTGGAATAAAAATACTGCACTCTCCAGTACAGCTCTCGATACTGGAATA